TAATAGTTATAAAATTGTTATATAAATCCTCTCCATGAACTAGCTTTCACTAGTTCTTGACTCTACTGTCTTCTAATTCATTGTTTTCCATTTATCTTTATTGTTTCCTACATTTCTACTTCTTTGTGTTTTATACGCTATTCTTTCTCTAGCTTCTTGAATGTTTTGGATGTTTTAAACATTTTTCTAATAAATCTGCCTAATGTAATTAATATCCCCCTAAGCACCACTTGGGCTGTTGTTTCCAACAATAGTGCTCCAGAGCTTTATGTGTAGTGCTCACATTTTTACAAGTTGAATATATCTCTCTTAATGCTCTTATGCTCTTTTCGGGTGCGTGTGTTTGTGCATACAAGCACTGTGAAAGCAACAGCTATTTAAAGAAAGTTTCATTTCAGGTCCTTGGGGTGTTTTGCTTTGTTATATTTTTATTAAGGATTGAAGAAACTTAAACAAATATCACTGCTAGTAACAGAGTTGGCTTTTCATAAATGACAAGAAGTTGTCACATGGAAAACTTAATTAAAATAATTGGCCGAGGACAAAATTCAGATTATCCAGGAAAACAGAAACTACTCTAAATATATAACAGTGAGAGGAGTTTCTTCATGAACTGTATTTTTCCATCAGTTTCAAGTTTATGGTGAAATTGGGCAGAAAATACAGCGTGTTTCCATATACCCTCTCAACCCCTCACCCACAGTTTCTCCTATGGTGAACATCTCCTCTTGGCATTACATTAGTGTAGTATATTTGTTACAATGAAACAGCCACTATTGATGCATTATTTTTAACTAAAGTACCCAGCTAACATTAGTGTTCATTCTTTGTGTTGTATATTCTGTGGGTTTTGACAGACATATATGGACCTGTATCCGTCCTACTGATACACTGCACCAGAACTTCCTTGTCCTTTACTTTACTTCTTCATCTCTCCTTCTATGCCTCTGAACTCCTGATCTTTTATACTGTCTCCATAGTTTAGCCTTTTAAGAATGTCACATAGTTGAAATTATATAGCATGTAGCATTTTAGATGGGCTACTATCACTTAGTAGCAGGCATGTAGGTGTCCTCCATGTTTTTTCATGCTATGATAGGCTTTTATATTGATTGCTGAACCATATCCCATGGTACACAGGTACCCCAGTTTATTGATCCATTCATCTACCGAAGGACATGTTGGTCGTTTCCTAGTGTTGGCAATTATGAATAAAGCTGCTAAAGCATTTGTGTGCAGTCTTTTGCATGGACATAAAATTTTACTTCCATTGGGTAAACACCAAGGAGTGAAGTTGGTGCATTGTATGGTAAGGCTGTTTACTTTTGTAAGATCCTGCTAAACTGTCTTCTCATGTGACTATACCATTCTGCACTCCTACCATCAGTGAGTGAGTTCTTGTAGCTCAGCCTCTTCTCCAGCATTTGGTCTTGTCAGTGTTTTAGATTTTAGCTATTTTAATAGATGTGCACTGATGTCTTTTTGTTTTAATTTGCAATTTCCTAATGATATATGATGTTAAACATCTTTTCATGTGCTTATTTGTAGAAAATTCCTACCATTTCTTCCTAAGGATTTGATGAAATTCATCAATGAGCCCACCTGGGAATGTTGTTTTCCGTCTTGGAAGATTTGTTAATTACTGATTCAATTTCTTTAATACAGGCAGGTCTATTCAGATATCTGTTTTCCCTTGTGTCAGATTTGGTAGATCGTGCATTTCAAAAAAATGGCTCATTTCATATGGTTTATCATATTTGGGGCATAAGGTTGTTCATAAGATTTCTCTATTATCGTTTTAATGTCTATGGAATCATTAACTATGGCCCCCGTTTATTTCTGATAGTAGTAATTTCTGTCTTCTCTCTTGTCTTAGTTAGAATGGCTAGATTTTTATCAATTTCATTGATGTTTTCAAAGAATTGTATTTCGCTTTTACTGTTTTCCTCTATTCATATTTTATTATTATTGATTTCTGCTCTAATATTTATTATTTTGTTTCTTCTGCTTAGGATTTATTTTGGTGTTCTCTCTCTTGTTTCTTATGGTAACTCTTCAGATCATTAGATTAGATCTTTCATCTTTTCTAGTATATGCATTCAATGCTATAAATGTCTCTTCAAATATTGCTTGGTCTTTTTTTTTTCTTTTTCAGAAATGAAATGCTGGTTGAAATATAAAACAGTCTTAGGGGAAATACTGCTGTTCATTCATTATTTTTTACCTTTTGTCGAGAATGTAGATTTTTAAAAAGAAAAATTAAAAAACACTATGAGAATTACATTGCAAAGTAATATGTATATGTCATCTATAACAGAAAATCTGCAGAATCACAGTTGGTGTAACTTAGGGATTAATGAGTCATGGAAAGAGAGCCATGGCTGGAAAAGACAAAGAAATAAAAATGGTCCCTGCAGAAGAGTGAATATGATTCTTTCTAAAAAAAAAAAAAAAAAAAAAAAAAGGTTATGCAACAGGTTATGCCATAGGGAGAAAATAGTGAGACACTACATGAGATTATATCAACTTGAGCAAAATGATTCATGCCTTTGTTTGGAGGGCAATATATGAATGCAAACTTTAAAACTGAAGGACATTGAGACCAGAAAATAAGTATGTGAGATGGACCTAACAGCTGGGAAGATAACAGTATTTACAGAAGACAAGAATTAAGAAAGTCAAGAATTCCAATTCTGTTGCCATGGAATTTACTTTGTGAAAGATATGTTATCTCAAGAAATTTTGTGCTGAATAAGAGCCTATAAAGGAAAACTTGATTGATTTTGCATCGTTAGCATGACAATCAATTAAGTTTAGAAGAGCAGATTGTGGACCTGGCTGTTTTGCCTCAGTGGTTAGAGCATAGGCCCTCAGACTGAAGGGTCACAGGTTGGATTAAGGTCAAGGGCATGTACCTTGGTTGCAGGCTCAGTCCCCTGTGCCAGGGCACGTGCAGGAGGACACCAATTGATGGGCCTCTCTCACATCGATATGTCTCTCTCTCTTTCTCTCCTTGTCATATGCCCTCTCTCAAACAAACTGATGGAAAAAATATCCTGGGATGAGGATTCACGAACAAACAAACAAAAGGTCCATTGTCAGTCACTACTTGGAATTAATGGCAGCAGTGAAAAATTACATATTTTTAAATAGCACAATTGCTTTATATGAGCTTGGACAGCAAACATATAAACACAACATTTTTAATACTGACAGCGGTAAATGTTATTTATCGCTGCCAATATTAGCTGCATACAGTCCTTCATATGAATATTGAATCCAATTATGTCAGGGAGAATTTGCTTCTATATATCCCTAGGTGTTGGGCTTGGACAATAAACATATAAACCACATGGCAAGATGGCTAGCAAATATTTGCCCAATATTTTTTAAATGTCAGTTAATATTATCATTTTTATCCCAGATGATACCACCCACCTCCCTTGGAATTTGTTTGAATCCAGGAGATGTCATAGAACATGTAATATTCTCAAAGAACACTGAAAGAACAAAATGTTGTCCCAAGCTAATAAGACTAAGACAAATTTCCACATTAGAGCGCTTGTCATTTAATTTAGACGGGGAATGGCCTCCACCAGCTGGATGCACCTCAAGCTCCTAGAATTGGTGTCAAAGAACAAGTCCTTCCATCCATCCCAGTTGTCCTTCCATCAAAACCACCTCCGCTTACATTCATTACACCCTGGACAAAAGCTAGCCCTCACTCAGGTTTTGCCAGATTCACTCAAGGTAACACGAGTGAAATGCCCTTTGAAGGGAGCAGGCTCTGCCTCTTCCACTTCACGTTAGAGAGTGTCAGCACAGTGGCTTCTTGGCATCTCACCTCAAGGGAATATCATCTCTCTTTCTCAAGAACTCCCTGGAGATGATGAGCGTGGCACACCTACTTTGCACATTGTGTTCAGTGCATGTGAAAAGAACAAAGGCTACCTTCCTTTCCTGACCCAGGAGGAGATTTCTCTCTGGTCTATCCAGAGTGCCAAAGTAACTTGCAGCAGCAGTTTTCTATCATAAACCGAATGTTGGTGTCCCCTTCCCCTGTCACACCAATTCCTATGTTGAAGCCCTAATCCCCAGGGAGAAGGTGTTTGGAGGTGGAGTATTTGGGAGGTAATTAGGTTTAGTTGATGTCCTGAGCATGGGGTAGCCATGATGCGATTAGTGTTCTTCTAAGAAGCACAAGATAGACTAGAACCCTCTCTACCAAGTCAGGACACAGGGAGAAGGACGCCATCTGCAAGCACAGCAGGAAGCTCTCACCAGGAACTGAATCCATGGCACATTGATTGTGGGTATCCCAGGCTCCAGAACTGTGAAAAATGTTGTTTAAGCCACCCAGCCTGTGGTATTTCGTTACAGCAGCGGGAGCAGACTAACATGCGCTTTGCCTCGAACCCCTCAAGCATACCATTGGAGGGCCTGGCCTCTACTCACCATTTCCACAACCCCCACTGACCCAACACACAGCGTAAATGAAAATTCCATCCCGCTCAGGCATTACAGTTTCCCACAGTCCCCAAACTGCCTTGCTCAGGACATTTCTACTTAACTGCTCTCATGAGGAACACCCTCTTCCTCACCCATTACTGTTACTTTACCTCTAGTTCCTAATGGGTGCTTGGACAGCTCACTCATTTGAGTGCAACTTGCAAGCGATAAAATTATATGAGTAGGAGCTGAATTTCCTTTAGCATCCCAGTACTAACACTGAGACTTCCCAGCAGCAGATAACTCAGTGTGGGGCAGATAAAACAACCAGCAAACACAAGATCTAATTTATTAAGATTTTATTTCTCCTACTTCTTGAATGAACTAACAACATCAAAGTTTAACTCAGTTAATTGTACAACACTGGACACTAAAAGGAATGAGCAAATGTAAGAATGATCATGCTTATTTTTTTCTATTCCGTTATCCCGACAATTAGACTCTGGGATCCTTTTACATTTCCAAGAATATTATCACTCTTCTAATATTACATGTCCTGGTCTGTAGGACGAAGAGCCTTGGACTTCTCTGAGGGTGGAATGGTTTTGCTGGCCATGGCCCTGTAAAGTGCACGGATCTGTGCAGTAGTGGCAGCCCTGGCTGCTTCTGTGGCTCGGGCTCTCTCTTCCTCATCTCGCAAAGCTTCTTCATAACAGCTTGGGAAGGCACTAGGGAGGGTATCATTGATCTTTGCCCAGAACTCCAGCACTTTCATCTTGCTGGTTTCAAGATGTGCTTTTGGACCCCACATGAACTCGTAGCGTGGAGGATCACTGCCAGGCACCTGGTGGCACTCCAGGTATTTTAGCCTCACAAAATCTTGGGTGATGAGCTTCTTGGGCTCCCCAAAGACAAAGTGCTTCCTCCGAGGGTACACGTGCATCAGACGCAGATCATTCCAGATTTCTTCCTCAGGGACACGGTTGCCGTTTATGAAGATCATGCCCAGGATATGCATCAGGAGACCGGTCTTGGGTAAGCCCCTGCCAGCACGCACCCTCCCATTATTGGGCAGTTTCAGTTTGCTGACAAGGGCATAGGAGTGACGGGTTGAGTCGACTTCCTCTATATCTAATGCAAAGAAAATTTCAATTTGCTCACAGGCTGTCTTGAACATTTCAGGAAATTGGCTTTGGTAATCTTCCCCGACAATATTCAGCATGTCATCCTTCAAAATGGGCTGCCTCATTTTGTACTTGTACAGAAGGAATAGCTCCAAAGACACAGCCTTGTTTTTGAAATCATCCGCCTCTGAGAACTCACTTAAGAGAGGGGCCTCAGAGGACTCTGCCCCATCATCCTCTTGGCCCTTGGAAGCTTCATCAGATCCAGGGCAAGAAGCAGCTTCAGAAGTAGTGGTGGTGGTTGGCGCACTTGGAGGCCCCTGGGAAGAGCTACAGGACCCAGCCCCAGGCTTACCCTGACTAATACCTTCACACTGAGGAGAGGAGGAGGGAGTGGACTCCTCTTCTGCTGCTGCAGCGGCCTGGGCATTGCCACAACTCTGAGTCTCACTTCGGGCCTGGGGGCGTTTCTTGCTTTTGTGACCCCGAGGCATGATGATGCTGTGGTCAGGGACAGCAGGAAATGAGGAGATGTGGACACCTGTATGGAGGAGAACGAGATGGTGTGAGCGCCTTCAGCAGCAAGATTGATTCTGCCTTGGCCTTAACCGAGGCTGCCTCTGCAGGTTTCCTTGAGGGTAGTGCTCTAGCCACCCACAGGGCTCCCATTCTCATCACACTGTTCCTTGAGAAATCTGTGGGGGCAGCTGGAGGGAACCTTAGACTGCAGCATGCCAGTCCCGCCTAGGGTGTACTGGGGTGAGAGCAGGGGTGCTGCCAGGGGGGAGTCTCCGTTGCAGGGTGTGAGGTTCTCCTCAGTTCACAATCAGAAACACCGTGTCAACTATGGGCAGGTCGTGGGCCCCCTCTATTCTGCTGCTCTGAAATTGATACCTCAAACCAAAGCTGGCACCTCCCTGAGACCCAGAAGGAGACAGTGGAAAGGTTCCTTAGCTCCTATGCCCGCCAGGGGGCACCCAAGTGAGAGTTCTGTGGCTGCGTGGGTCCTCACTTCTTCATGGGCTGCTTGGGTCCTCACTTCTCGTGCAGGGTACTCCCCTGGTCTCCACGTAGTGCCTGGTATACCTTCCTTCTGCTGACTGGCAACTGCACCCTCACACTAAAGACCTCTTTTCTCTTACATTGGCCATACCTAGGTGAGGGTGGGTCTCAGCCTGGCAGGCCCACCCTGAGCCTTCAGGAACTGAACGCAAAGGTGGGGCTCAGCATTCCTGTTTTGTTACTCAATGGTGGGTGGTCCGTCCAATCTTTCTTTTGACTTTTAGCATAGCCTGAGACTCCTCTCTCTTTCCAGTGTTCCCGAGAACCCCCTGCCCGCCCCCCACTGCCAGGAGGATGAGTCACCCCACCTGCCCATTTTCTCCCAAGCTGACAATAGGGTTTCTCTTGTACAGCTGAGGTACCAGGCAGAGGACTCCACTTCTTAGGCAAACCAGGTGGGGGTTCCCTCAGAAATCATGGTCCAGGGAGCCCCTTAACCCCTGAAAAGACCTGGCTATCCTCCTACTGCGGAGGGAAAACTGTCCCTTTTGAATGAACTCTTTCAATCC